GCCCTCTGGACCTGCTCAAGCACCGTCAGGTATATGCAACTTCCGTTTGATAATGGATTGTTGCTGTTCATGGCCTACTTTATGGCTTCCGGGGTCAGATAACACCCAGCTCATGATCGGCAGCTCCGGTTGCATGGTGACTTGGGGGCCCGTTGTCAAGTGTTCAGTTTCCACTAAGGCCCAATAGCAGGCTAAATGCTGTCTGTCTCTGAAAGGGAGAATAGTTGTCTGCAGACGAAGGCAAAGCCTTACTCCAAAATCCCAATGGCCTCTGCTGGGTTCCCCTATGGGAGCCTGCCAGAGACTCCAGACAGCATCTTTATCTGCCACTGATACCTCAGGCACCATCGGGGCTGCTGGATCATATGGCCCAAGTGGCAGAGCAGCTTGTACAGCAGCCTTTTCCTGTTACAGGCCCCAGTCAAAGGTTGCTGCGTTCCAAGTCACTTGATATATGGGTCACAGTAACACCCAGATGAGGAACGTGTTGTCTCCAGAATCCAAACAGGCCCACCAAGCACTGTGTTTCTTTCTTGGTGGAGGGAAGGGCCAAGTGCAACAACTTATTCTTCACCATAGAAGGAATGTCTCTGCATGCTCCACACCACTGAACTCCTAGAAATTTCACTGAGGTAGAAGGCCCTTGAATTTTGGTTGGATTTATTTCCCATCCTCTGCATGCGCAGACTGTCTGCTACCTCTTGCTCTCTGGATCCAATCAGCATAACATCATCAATATAGTGGACAAGTGTGACATTTTGTGGAAGAGTCAGGAAATCAAGATCCCTTTGAACCAAGTTATGGCACAGTGCTGGAGAGTTAATATACCCTTGAGGCAGGACAGTAAAGGTGTACTGTTGGCCTTGCCAGCTGAAAGCAAATTGCTTCTGGTGGTCCTTATGAACTGGTATCCAGAAGAAAGCATTTGCCAAATCAATAGCTGCATACCAGGTACCAAGAGACATATTAATCCGTTCGAGTAAGGAAACCACATCTGGTACAGCAGCTGCAATTGGAGTCACTACTTGATTAAGTTTTCCATAGTCAACTGTCATTCTCCATGACCCATCTGTCTTCTGCACAGGAGCTTCCATATTAAACCTAGAATCTCCAGTCAGGGGGCCCATGTCAATAAACTCAGCCTGATCCAATTTTATGTTCCTTCCACCATTATCCCATACCCTTAAAATCCATTCC